GAAAAGACAAATTGGGTCATCTTATAGTTTTCAGCTGTGAAATCCATTTCAAAATTGCATCTTGCAGGCCTGAGAGGCTTCCCTGGACTCGATGGAGATATTATCGTGGTGTCGCCAAGGAATAGCATTCAGGCCCGGCCTTGCTTCTGGGCGAGCAGCATATGTCCCCATAAAACCTCCTCTTTATGACCAGAGCTTCTGTGTGTATGCTACAAACAGACACAGCCTGGATCTTGCCTTGGTGAGGGACCAGGAAATTAAACACTTCTGCACCACCACTACTTTGCAAAAGGGAAAATACCATTTCATAAGAAGGGTCTCCTCCCATCGACATTACCTACCAGGCATCCTTCAACCTGAACCCCTGCTATGTGTCATTGTGCAAGTCATTTGATTTCTCTGGATTTTATTTTCTGGCCACAGAGTAGAATTAATGAAAGTTTTTAGTACTGCCATGTGTGTTTGATGTACATTTTTTATACCAGACAAGGTAAATGATTTTGAAAGCTATTAATTATGATTAATCAAGAGGCTTTTGACTTCTGGAAACAGAACTAGCATTCAAAGGTCCAACCCAAACAATAACAACAAAACATGGCTTTCTGCCACAGTCCTAAGATATTAAATATGAGTGTACAGAAACAGAGACAAATGGGAGTTTCTCAGAAGCTCAATCAAAGGTGAGGTTCATTTACCAGGAGCCTGAGCATGTTCTGCGTATAATGGAAATACTTCTTCCAATACAGAATTCGGTGTTCAGTTCACAGCTGTTTACTGAGCACCTGCCCTGAAAGGAATCACTATCTGCTTTAAGGAAAATAAAAGTGAAATAAGATACTACCCCCTTCCGGGTTAATGGGGCTCACAGTCAAGGGCAGAAGACAAATATCATGAGTCATCAGAGTGTAGGCAGTGTGGGCTTGGCCATGAGATAGCTCAGGGTGTCCTTGAGGAAATAGTGTACTATCCAAGGTCACAGTAGGAGACAGAAGAGGAAAAGTGGGTGGAGGCCATAACTCAGATGCAAAGGGAGAAGTATATATTGGGGCTAAAACCAAAAGGCACTGAAGGGCATGCTGGGAGATTTCAGTTTTATTCTCTAGATGAATATGGTTGAAGAGTTCAAGAGCTTCATGTTCTATTACTAAAAGTACAGAATGTTCACTGAGATTTTGTATTGCAAATGGTAAGAAGTTTAGACAAGGAAAGAGAGGAAGAAGAGAGGGCCAAGGGGAACAGAAAGAGGAGAAGAAGGAGAAAGAGGATAACAAGGGAAGAAGGAAAGAAGAAGAGGTGGAGGAGTTTGGGGGAGGAGGGAAAGGGGAAGAAGAGAGGAAGAGGAGGAAAAAGAGAAAGAAGTCATCGATTAGTGTTAGTGAATGCTATCCAAAGAAAAAGTACCTGAATTATTAAAAAGTATCATCACGAGTCTTTCCCTCTTTGTATTTCTGTTCTTGCTTTCCTAAGTGGGCTTTATTCCCAGACAGGATCTTCACAAGTGGTGATAAACACAGCCACCAGGTCTCTATGCTCACTTGATGTCTGGGCTACTGTCTTATTGATAAGACACAAAACTGGACACCTGCAACTCAAAAGAAGAGGTATTTGTCTTGGCTCACATTCTCAGTTCATGGCCAGCTGGCTCCAAGACAGGAGAGCATGGCAGAAAGGAGCTGCTTACTGCATGACAGACAGGAAACAGCATAAAAGGACAATCTACTTGATCTGGTAGGCCACACCACTGGTGGCCATCTTTTCTGACCAGTCTCCACCTCCTGATAGCAAGTCACCAGAAGCCCCTATCATCCAGTATCTGCTAGCATTGATTCCCATTCCATGGTTTGCATCATTTGCTGATTTTTGAACCAAGATTCAAGGGCAAGGATCAGAATACTTTGCTTGTTGAACATGGGGCCATGGAATTGACTTAAAGTGGAATAGGAAAAATAGCTATTTGCTGTTTACCTGATCGCATCAAAAAGGACTGGCTGGAACTTGGTTCCACAAGAGGAAATGCATGAAAAGGTAGTATTAGCTAAGATGGGTCATGCTTCTGTACCCAATAACCTCCTAATCTAAGTTGGGAAAAGCACAACCCTTGTCTTTTTTCATCACACTATATATCCACTGTGGTCAGAATGGGGTGGGGCTGCTTTGCATGAACTTCCCAGAAACGAGAAGAATGTACTTCCCACATTCCCAGAGGGCCACTAGGAAAAGTGGGGGTGGAGACTGTCATTCTGCCTGGGAAAGTTTCCATTTGGGAGCCACACAAATCACTCCTCAGTTTCTAACAAAGGTAAGCCTCCAGACCACATCTAAATTCACAGGCAAGTACAGTTCATCCTGACAGGTGCCTGGAGTGGAGAAAGACTGAAAATATTTTGCTAAATGGCATTAAAGTGAACTAAGGCAAAGAGAGAGAGAGGAAGGGAGGGAAGGAGGAAGAGGGTAAAGGTGAGGGAAGGGGAGACAGAGACAGAGACAGAGAGAGACACGTGAAGTATGATTGAAAAATGCAGTCTGTAAATTTTTTTTAGAAGGCACCTTGGCTTGCATCATTTGACTATTTCTGAGCCAAAATCATTACAGTAAAAGACACCTTTCCATTAATCACCTGTGAAATACTTCCCCATGCCTCAGATACATTTCTACCATCATTCTTGGTGCTTTCTGAAGCAGTTGTGGAACCCTTTCCTGAATGTTTTCACTTGTACTGTCCCGGCTGCCTTTATGTCCTGAAACAATTCAACATGCTGACCTTTGGTGGTCATTCTGAATTTGGAGAACAGCTAGAAGTCACGTGATGTCATACCCTAACGCTTCTAAAAGCTTCTCTTTCCACTGGATGACCCTTAGCAGGAGCACACACTGCATTTTTTTTTTTTATCATACCTTGTAAAGACATGAAAAAGGGCCTCCAGAACTGCTTCAGAAAATGGCAAGAATGATGGGATAAGTGTTTGAGGAGTATTTTGAGGTAGATTAATGGCAATTTGTCTTGTACTATAATAAATATTTCAAGTGTAGACATTAACCATATTTTTATCATACCTTATACATCTACTGTAGGAATATATCAATGTAAACCTCATGCTTCCTACTTATGTAAATAATTAAAGGTTTTTCTGTGTCCTTATTTGAGAGGGACAGAAAGACCAAGAGACAGAGACAGAGACAGACAGAGAGATAACGATGCCCCCCACCAATCCAGGATCATGTAGGTCTGTTTTATTCTCTGTTGAGGTAATTCTGTCCTCCTTTTCAATTTATTCATACCTTGATAGTGTGCTTTTATTAACAACATAAAAATTAATCTGACAACATAGAAAAGCATCAGATTATTAGAACTTTTTGACAAACTGTACTTTAGAGAGACAGGAGTATTGAGGCAATGATTCATTAAGAAAAAGCAATTAACGAGGAAAATTTCCCGCTCTAAAAATAACATAATAGCAAGAACAAGTTAGTTCTTTTTCTCAGAAACACAATTTGCTTAATCAAGAAAAGAAAGACAACAAATTTCATTTGACATTTGTTTTTGTTTTTGTTTTTTATTTTATTTTATTTTATATTCTCTCTTCATTTCAAAACTACTTAAATGGTGGGGTGCAGGAGGTACTGGAGTGTTCAGATTGGCAGCATTGCCCTGCATCTTGACAGAATGTTGGGTTACTATTAGATTTGGGCAAAATTGGAGGATACACATTTAAGATTGGCATATTTCACTGTGTATATTTTTCATTAAAATATAGAAATTTTTAAAAAAACCTATTTAAGTGTAAGCCTTGTACCCTCTTCTATAACTCATCATCCACAGTGAAAACAAACAGAGGATGAGTGAATATTCACTTTGAGGATTGTGAAATTCAATTTCACTAGCAGCTTTTCTAGTAGATGAAACTACCTCCCCCTTAAACTGCTTATGACCCTATAATGTAAATACTGATCTTAAACTTGGAAGTAGCTTTCATGTCTGTGCAATCCTTCATAATACATCAGTGACACACAGTTAAGAAATCAGATGGATGTGGATACATGACAAGTCTCCTCAGTTGAAGTGCTCTGTAAGGTCCTCAGATCTTCCTGTCAGGCCTACTTTTGATTTGTCGTCAGGATCCTCACACAGAGTCATTAGTCACAGTGATACATGAGGCACTACATTGCAGCTATCAAGAAAGACCCTATTTCCTAAGTCCTGGGCTTCCTTTAAAATTCCACAGTAAGTCTTGGCAGGACTCTTTTGGGATGACAAGGTCCAAAATGGAATTCTGTCCATCACACTCGTTACCCCTATCTCCTAAAATGTCACTGAAATAACTATAAAAAATCTGTAGCCACCCCAGGGTAAATGAGACCCCAGGCACTTAGCTATGCTTAATTTGCCCAAACAGAAACATGGATTCATGATGTTATCTTGGGCATCGTTCTGTGGGGCAAGGAAGATGGTCTCATTTCCCCATGAGGGAGTCAACCATATTCCTGTTACTCTGCAGCTCAACTGCCATGAGCTTTAGTCCATCCGAGACTCCAATCTCTGGCATCTGACTCACTTTTCAGTGCTGACTTTGACTCAAATACAGCTGACCTACAGTGCTTCCCAGGTTCAGAGATCCTAGTGAGTTATTGTTCCACCTTTGTTATGGTTTGTGCCTAGTTCTCCCCCTAAAGCTTCATGCAGTTATGGGGTGGACTTCTAGAGTTTGTGATTAACTCATGATACACTGGGATTATGGGTGTAAGTGCTGCTGGGATTATGGGTGTGAGTACTGTACCCAGCTTGGGGCAGATAGCCTGAATGCAATTTAATGGAGATAGGCTCACTCTGTTGCCATTGTTGCTGTTACTTCTCCCTTTTGCTCTTGCTGTTTTGCTGCCTTCTGCCACCATGAACTGCTGCCCTCTGCCATGTGCCAGTCTGCCTTGGAGTCAGCTGAGTATGGACTGAAACCTTCAGTAAATGTGAGCTAAATAAATCTTTCCTTCCTCCATTTTGAGGAATTTGTCCCAGAAATGAGAGAACAGTAACTGAGACAGCCTATGTCAATGAATAAAGGGATGACCTGGAGGGTGAATACCACTGAAAGAAGTAAGTAGGAGGATGAGGGGGGGAGGGGGAGGGGGGAGGGAGAGGGGAGGGGAGAAGAGAGGAGGAGGAAGAGGAGTTGTGAAGGATTAAGTAAGCTTTGATCCAAGCATATCAGTTCAAAACTCTCTAGGATTCCAGCCTTGCTTCTGAGAACATTCACTTCCCCATTACCTTCCACAGTTCCTGTGATGGCTTCACTAGTTGTATAGACCTCCATCTGCTGTTTGGACTCCTGAGCCTAACGTCATGGTGTTCTAGTCAGCAATGGCAGGAACCTAGGGCTCATGGCTGCACGCTGCCCCTGTCTGAAAGAAGCTCATACTACAGGCAGCCGCTCCAGCGGGACTCCCTTGGTAATTAACCCTGTAAGTTACGACCTCTTCTCCTTGGTAGAAGCATTCTCTCAGGTGAGGCTGGTGTTAATGGTCAGTGAATTTAAGATGAAGACTTGATGAAGCAAGGAAACCTGTACTTAGGGAGTTAAAGCAGCCTGTCATGTTGGGGGGCCTGGATGCGGGGCGGACATCAGATCAAGTAAATGCTGTACTTAGGACTGAAAATCAGTTGTTCCTGAGTGCACACTTCTTCTATTAAAATACTGAAGCAATAATAAATAAATAAATAAGTAAATAAATAAATCATCTAAAATTAAAATT